TTAAAAAAAAAAAATGTTCTTAGCAGAAGCAGGTTCTTGTGCCTTTCCTTTCCTTGGTTACTCAAAAAATGCTACCAGAGGAACAGGGGAACAGGTAGATGGGGGCAGCAGTGCCGGGTCACATAACATTCTCAGCAATATCTCTAGCCCTTTCCATCACCTTCTCTCCTTGACCAGTCAGGACCTCATTAGGAAATTTGCCCCCCTCTTCTCCCCACCCCGAAACATAATCACATCTTTTTGAACCAGTTAGTAATTATGGAAGATAATCTTGAAAGAGCCCAGATGCTGCCATCCATTTATGCTTTATTGAGGAGGATCTTGCAAACACGCAGCATCTAGGCATTTTCTTTGTGCTGTCTCAGCATCGTAGTTGCTGATGGAAGCATGAAGGCTCATTAGCATTTTAAGAGATTTTAATAAAAATTGTTAGTTTGACAAAAGACATGGGACAGGTTTAATCAGGAATACCATACTTTAATCTCTGGTGCTAATTCAGTCCTTGCTTCAATAAGAGAATAATTCTCTGACCAGGAACAGGGAAATGTAGAAACTGTGCCTGGGAAACAGTGAGAATTTTGTAGTCCTAGCTTTATCCCCTGCATTTTCATTGCTCTTTGTCTGCATGTCTCTCAGGGCACTGGGAATGCTTTGCTTTATATTTCACAATAGACACTTCACATTTGCCAGGGATCTGTCCAGGGATCTTGGTGAATACCCAGCTATTTCTCGGACCCTTGGAGCACCAGGCTTCATTACTGGGAGGTCAAGTGAACTTAATCACCGGCTAGCGTGGATTCCTGCCTTAGCAACATGGCTCCCTCTCACGGGTCATCAGAGTCCTTTGTACCATCAGAACCCTAAAGACCATTTCTTGGAATGTAGAGGTTGCTCGGAAAGGTTTTACGCGTGCACGTATGTCTCCTCATAAGACCGTAAACTTCTGGGCGGTAGCGATCATCGTGTTTCTTCCTCTTTATATCCTCTAACAGCCCAGCATCGGTTATTGCTGAGGGAGGAAGGGAGAACTGTTCCTGCATCAACTCATGTCCCTGTCTGTTCAGCTGCACTGTCACGAAATGATTCTCCTTCATGTTTTCAAATAAAGGAACATTATTTGGATAGGTAATTAGATAGGTCACTCCTGTTAACTCTCTATAGGTCTTTGGTTTTGTTTTTTTGTTTTGTTTTGTTTTTTGGTAAATGCTTGAGGTTCCATACTTTAAAAAAAAATTCAATTTGGGAGTTTTGAAGAATGCTTTTCTTGCCATCATTAGTTTGCTAAGAAAGCTGCACTTCCTGGTGATTTAGTGACACGTTTGTCAGGTACACGTGAAAGTAGCCTTTCAATTGGCCCTCACCATGTGCCACATCCTTCCCTGAGGCTCAGGCTTTGGCCTGGCTCCTGCTCTCTTTTAGTTGCCAGGGAACCGGTTCCCACACCTCCTCTGTCTCCTGGTCTCTTTCCTTGCTGCCTGTGAATCCCAGCACGCACTGTGCTTGTAATTGCTGGGCTGTACAGGGAATCGGGATAGGTCGGAGTAGGGGTTTAATCAAAACAGACATTGGGAAAGTTACAGTGGTTCCCAGGAACTCAATTAGTAGATTACTCCGAGGAGTCACCCATCCATGTGAAAATGTATATGGAGGTAAAAATGCCTTCATTTTAGTCCCTTCCAAGACTTCCTTCTTAGAGAGCCCTTGAGTTAGACAGAACACATCAGCCTGCGGTCAACTAAAGTTTACTCAAATTAGCTCAAGAAAGGGACTTGTGAAAAGAATGTTACCTGCTTCCAGGAGAGCTAAGCAAGCAGGCCTGGGGGAGGGCAGGGACAAAGGCAGGTCTTAGGACGTCAGCAGTGGGCCTGCGTACTGGACATTTCCCTAGGTTCTGAGTGTTGAGAAGAGAGAAGGTTCCTGCCCAGCACCCTGACTCAACCAGCTGCAGCTGGAGGGTATGGGGCTGCCCCGTTCTGGGCTGTGAAATTTAGACATGCAAGTAAGCTGGTCACTATCCGCTGTTGTTTCCAGGTATTACAGTCTATCTCCCCCATCACTGGAATCTAGGGGTGAGCAGTGATCAAAAGGGATCTTTCCATTTATTTTTTGAGATAGAACTTTCTCCAGGATGACATTTTTCCTGTCTTTATTCCATTAAGAACTTGGCTGGTATGAATTTAATTTGGATCTCTTATTCCCATGACTGGCAATTTTCAGTCTAGGAAGGGTTAGATTAGAAGAACAACAGATTTGAAATGAATTATTTAGAAAAAGATCTCTTATAGCCATTGTACATTCAACAATTCGAAAACATTTCTCAGCCATTGGACTCAAGGCTTTATGCTAGATGTTTTAAGAAAAGTATACTAATAACTAATACTGAGTTAGTGTTACATGTCAGTGAGTTTACATGTAGGAGCTAATTTTAATTTTCTTGCACATCTTTCAACTAGGTAGGTCTTGTGACTATCCCTATATTCAGAGCAGAAAGTTAAGACTTGGGAAGTTTAAGCAACTTAAATATATATATATATATATATATTGAGGGGCACCTGGGTGGCTCAGTTGGTTAAGCGTCCAACTCTTGATTTCAGCTCAGGTCATGATCTCAGGGTCCTGAGATTGAGTGCCACATCAGACTCCACGTCTGGGTGTGGAGCCTGCTTAGGATTCTCTCTCTCTCTCCCCCTGCCCCAGCTCAAGCTCTCTATTTCTCTCTAAAATAAATAAAATCTGGGCGCCTGGGTGGCTCAGTTGGTTAAGCGACTGCCTTCGGCTCAGGTCATGATCCTGGAGTCCCTAGATCGAGTCCCGCATCGGGCTTCCTGCTCGGCAGGGAGTCTGCTTCTCCCTCTGACCCTCCCCTCTCTCATGTGCTCTCTCTCATTCTCTCTCTCTCAAATAAATAAATAAAATCTTTAAAAAAAATAAAAAAAATAAAAATAAAATAAAATAAAATCTTTAAAAAAAATCTTGAGTTAATGTATAAAATTCATGAAAAAAAAAAGCGGTGGGAAACAAATTGGACAGGCAGGTAGTAAGACAAATGATGGGGTTATTCTGTTGGTCACAAAGACCCATTGAAGTTTTGGATCCTAGGGGTCATATCAGAACTATCCTTGGAGAAGTTTCCTGGCAATCCTGTGTGGAATGGCTGAGACAGAGAGTAACCAGGGAAGCCTTTGATGAGGCACTAGGAGAAGCCAAAGGAGGACCAGGGTGATAGCTGTGGAAACAGAACTGACTGGAGAACCTTGTGGTTTTCTTTCAGGCTTCCCTTGAAGTCCCCTCTCTGGGCCTGGGTTTTAAACAAACTAGCTTTTGAACATTGGAGCATAGACTACAGCTGATTTTGGAATTGCCTTTAATTTCTGCAGCAAAGAAATAGAACAAAACAAAAAAGCTAAATTTTGAAACACTGCCTGTGAGAAACAAAATGATAGAACTCTGAGGAGTCAGTGGGTAGTATTGTCATCCAGTTAAGAGTGGCCTGAAAGGGACCTTACACACACACCCACATTGCTACACAGTTTTTCTCCACGTCAGAGTGAAGGAGACAAAACCTGTGAGAAGCATGTTTGCCACTCAGGACAGGGGCCGATTTGTTGTCTCTCAGAACTGCTTTTCCTTGGCCTCGCATTCCTAAGAGAACACGCTGCTGCTGGTCTTACTGCCCACATGTCCACACAAGGTGGTTACATGGGATCTGAGAAAACAGACCAATTTTTAATGCCTCCTATTCTTGAGGCTTGTATCGCATTCCAGAAGAACTTCTGGATGATCCTGTTTGAAGCAATGTGTATAAGTATTGGGCTTTCCTGGGTTTTGAACCGGACTCGGTATCTGTGAGGTTCTTACTTCATCCAGAGGAAGAGAGTAGACCCAGTGTCTCCAACTTGTGAACACTCTGGGACGGGTGTCTCCCTGGCTTGGCCCTGTCATGTATGCCTTTAATCAGCAAGTATGAATTCAGTGTTGTGTGTACCAGGCACTGTACTGCATACGGGAGATGCAGTGATGAATAAGGCACAATTATTATGGGACTTGGGTACCAGGATAGTTTGGGCATAGAGGCAAGCAGATAAGTTCACCAATACATAAAATGCTGAAGAGGCTTCTCAGTATTTGGTAAGTCCTTTGACCTTGGAAGCTTCTGAAAGGAATAATTAAAAAAAGAAAAGGGGAAAGAAAGACAATTATAGTTCAAAGAGAAAAGTTTGAGTTCAAAAGCCTAAGAGCCCTTAGGGATAAAGAAAAAATTCCCTAAGCAGACATAATAATAAACCTGTTATGAATAATAGTCATAATATGAGTTTTTCAATTCTTTTAAGAATTAGGGATATTTTTGGATTGGACTGGGAACTTCAGCCCTATTGAGTTAGAACCTATCTTTTAGTTTTAGCTTTTATTTCCCTCTCGTTCCTAGTAGTTAAAAGTCTTTAAAATGGTTAGGAGGAGTTCTTGCTGTCAAGTAAGAAGTAAAGAAGAGGGTCAAGCCAGGGCTGCACTCTGGATCTGGAATCCACAGGAGAGTATGGAAGGTGATTCAGTCCTAGGCATGAAGCTAAGTTCTGAGAAGGGCTCCATCTTTGCAGGGACTCCCTGAGGTCCACCACAGGGTCGCTGTGGGATCTGGGGACTCCGTACCCACATTTCTTGGAATTACCTAGAGTTCTAAACCTTATATGCCACTAATAAGTACCTTGTTCCGCTCTGGTGCCATGATAGTTTCCTTTACTTTATTCCATTGAGGTCAAGAGTAAAACAGTATCGAACAGAGCAATACACTGTCCATTTCCTGATACCCAATCTGATTTGAAAATACTTTAAGGAAGAAATGTGTTAATGATATAGGGAAGAGATGGGGAGAAAGAGATGCCTCCTCTCTTTTTGTAACATCATACTTTTGTACAATATAAGCATTTTCTATTCTTTAAGGATTAGCTAGCTGAAGATTTGTAAATTTTTCCCAATAAATAACTGTCACTCTCCTCTTTCAGCAGATTTCTGCACACGGCAGATCTTCTTCCAATGTAAATGGTGGACCTGAACTTGGTCGTTGCATGAGTCCTGAAGGTAGTCCTCAATCTGATGATTACTTTTATAAAGGAAGTCACCCATGTGAACTTGGTGGCCACCCAAAACCCACTTGTGCTAAATTATGGTCTTCCTCAATAGGGATGTAATCATGTCACCGATTAGCCTAATGAGCCTTGGTGAGGTCACTTCAGGATATATAAAATATCCTTGTTTTTAATTAAGCTAACCCAATTTCAGATTTTACACTTGGGCTTCCTTTATTTTTCCTTAGTGGCAGTCTGCTCACAAGTCTTACATGTAGACTTCCCTTTCTCTCAGTTAGGTAGCAAAGGTGTGTTTCTTCATTGGATATTTGCTATGTGCTGGGCCCTGGGGATACATTGTAAAAAGTAGTCCTTTTAACCACTTCCTTCTCCTGCCTCTCCCCCGCCCTTCCCCTTTTTGAGAGGACTTTGAGCCAGGAGTTAGCCTTAACAGGTATCCCACAGCTGGGTAGAATTTTCTCTACTAGAAAATCTTGAGGAGAAATCTTGAAAATTTTTAAGATCGAATCCCCACCATCATCCCCTTTCCCTTCCTCGAGAGTTAACAAAGAAGTTTACAAAGCTTAGGTTAAATTTTCTTTTACTTATTTCAGCTGATATTTCAGAGATATGTTAGGTTTATTGATTATGTTGGTTTCAGATTTCACAACAAGGTCAAAAGGAAATTGGTGATTCAGGTTTTCAGGTGTTCAGAAACTATGCTTAGAAATTTTCTTATGGTTCACCATAGATTTAGAAATCAATTGCATTGCAATTTATTATTTTACAGAAATGTAGGAATCAAGGTGAAATGCTGATGTGTTTGCTAGACTTTGCATTTATCCTTTTGCGCAGGTGTGAATGGAAACAGGTGTTCTGAATCATCAACTCTTCTTGAGAAATACAAAATCGGGAAGGTTATTGGTGATGGGAATTTTGCAGTAGTCAAAGAGTGCATGGACAGGTGAGTGGATGGTGAGGATAATCATTTGTTTACCTACATTTCTCCCCTGGAGTTTATTCTTACTAAGCTGAATGAAAGAACAAAAGGCCTTCCTGGGAGGTCTCTTTTTCCCCCTTCCTGAAAAAGTCTATAGTTAGGTAGGACCAGCTGTTTTGTAAGCCCACAGGCAGTTTGACCTGGAAAAAATAGGTATAGGCCCAGAGTATAAACTTGCTTTGTACGCAGTTGGGCTGAGAGATTTATCAGGTCTCATCCATGAGCCAGAGAGGAATAGGAAAGAATTAGATTCATTAAAAAAAAAAAAAAAAAAAAATCTATAGCACTTACCTGTGTCAGGCATGTTCTTGATGCTGTGCTTGTATTATTAACCCCTTTAAGCCCCACAGTAACCCTCTCAATTAATACTTAATTGTAAATACTAGGAGTTCAGATATATGAGCTCTGACTCTATTCAGATCAGGGTCAGCCAACTTTTGCCTATATTAAAATTATATTTTTGCTTATTCAACTTTATGTTGTTTAAGGTCCTAAATTCTCAAGTGGTAAGAAATCCATTCTTTTAAATTCCAGGCCTTTTGTAAACAATATACAAACTGGGAAAGACTCAGGTTAGAGCTTTTGTGTTCATAGGTCAACACCCTACTTGTTCTAAGTGGTGATTTTTATTATTGGTGGGGAGTTTTCCAGAAAGCTTTTCCATTTTGCCGCATCTCCAGTGAAGCTTTCGTGCTCCTTGTAGAGGACACTGTCCTGTCCCCTGAGTCCTTTTACTTAGCCCTGGTGCACAGTTTGCCACCCAAGTAACAAATTAAGCATCTAAGATACGATCTCTACGGACTCATTAGAAATCTGAGTCAGGGCTTGTTTTATGTTATGCGGAAGCAATTTAAATGAAAGTTGCTCCTCTAAGGTCAGCTTCCGCAGTGTGTGCTGTGACCATGTGGCAAAAGCAGTTGCACTTGAGAGAACGAAGGTATTCCCAGAATACTGCAGTGTGTTTTGTTGAACTGTTTTCCTAGCTAAACAGTACTTTTTGGCATGTTCAGATTAAATTGTGTTAAAGGTGATTAAACGTTAACAACCTCAACATTTGTATGTCCAAGTAAATGATCTCTTTCCTACCAGATCTAGGCGTTTAAGGGTGTGGCTAAAATGGCACCAGCTGGAGTTTTGGCTGAGAAAGAGATATTGAAAGCCTAGGGCCTTTTAAAGATTTTTTTTTAAATTTATTTATTTGAGAGAGAATGAGAGAGAGCAAGCACATGAGAGGGGGGAGGGTCAGAGGGAGAAGCAGACTCCCCGCCGAGCAGGGAGCCCGATGCCGGACTCGATCCCCGGACTCCAGGATCATGACCTGAGCCGAAGGCAGTCGCTTAACCAACCGAGCCACCCAGGCGCCCCAAGCCTAGGGCCTTTTAGTCATTAGTAGATTAACGTAAAGATATATTGATCATAGAAAAATTTTAGTTATTTTAATTTTTCTTAATTTTATTCTACCTCCTAAGAGAACTCTTTTGAGATTTAAGTATGGAAAAAATTTCTTGTCCAGCTCTGATACAACAGAGTTTTAAATACTTTTAATATGTGAATTATTTAATATTATAATTATTAACATCATAAAATGAGAATGACAGTGTGGCTTTGGATTTTTTCATTTCTTTTTTTGGGTACCTTTCTCCCTGACCCCACTCACTATCGTCCCTAATGTACAGAGGAGGAAGGTAGTACTTCTCTGTTGAACCGTTTTCCTATTCTAAAAGATATTTAGAAGAATATCTTCGTTTCCTTTAGTAGAGGAAATCGGGAATGATTGTATCTTTGTGTCTTTAATTGCCTTTCTCTGATTATTTCATAGGTCCACTGGAAGGGAATTTGCCCTGAAGATTATAGACAAAGCCAAATGTTGTGGAAAGGTACAGTATAAGAAACTGAGAAACTTGGTGAGATGTTTACCGCGGTGAAGGAATTTAAGTGGGCATTGACAAGGCCTTAATAGGAATAGACCATTGATAATAATAGGGGAAACACTATCAACATGGTTTTTTTTTTCCTTGTCATTTTTCACTTTAATCCTAAAATAATAAATTGACTTGATCCGGTCCTAGCTATAGAAAATATAAGTTCTCTTCTTTGGGAGATGCCTATATGAAAACTCAGCAATGCTCAAAAGATCTATCACGAACTGTGATGAGTCTAAGACTTCACCTTACTTTCCAACTAACGAGTTAGGCTTCTTGCTTTATGGATGCTGGCTGAAGACACAGGATTGCTGGGTCAGAGACAAAAGACTTTTATAACTTGTGGCACAGCAGGTAGCATTGGTTCTCTTAGCTCCCAAGTCCCACGGAAGTGATGCAGAGGGGCCCAGCCGGTTGCTATACACAGAATAGGTTTAGATCACAGCTGAGGATCCTCAAGCTTAGTAAACCCCCAGTCTTATGAGGGGGTTGCTAGCAAACCTGTCCAAACTTTGCCCCAGAGGAAAACTATTTTTATGATAATGGTCAGGAAGCCAATCTGTCCTCTACCCTTGAGGGAGACCCTATCTCTATGATCTCTATGTTACAAATACCCTTGGGAAGATAGTTTGTAACAAAAGCTGATAGAGGATGTGTAGAAACACCATGAAGAATTGCCCCTCCCCCCCCCATCAACTTTTTTTCTCCTGTCCCACTCTCAGGCTGATCTGGGAAAGATCAAATGATGAAGGGCTGCTGGAGTATTGATATGTTAACTATGTTTGAAAAGATAATAGCTCGGATGACAAAGACCTTTTTAAAATTACTTTGTTAGCATAGCAGTTAAGAAAGCAGGCTCAAGAACTCCTAGGTGGCTAGTCTGAATTAAAGTGTAGATTAGAATACACAGTAGATTTTTGTAGACAGTACGAAAAAATAGTGTGGTACCTCATTAATTTCTTTTTTGTTTGATTGCATTTTGAATATATTGGGTTATGTAAGTTATTAGTGTTATCTGCATCTTTTTACATTTCTTAATGTGGGCATCAGAAAATTTAGATTTCTATATGTAGATCACATTCTATTTCTGTTGAACCGTGCTGTTCTAGTGCCAGAGTGTATGAAGTTTTAGTCTTGGTTCTGCTTCTTTTTGCTGTGCTACCTTGGAAAAGTTACTTAACCCCTCTGTGTTTGTTTCTCCCTCTAAAATGTGGTTGTTAATAATATCTAAGACACAAGGTTATTGTGAGGATTAACTGAATTCAGGTATGGAAAACATGTAGAGAAATACCAGTATATAAGATTTTAGCACATGTTAACTGTTAACATTATTAATATGCCACAGAAATTCAGAATGTATAATTAATTAAGATTTAAAGTGATAGTCGTGATTTTATATTAATGGACCTCCTAAAGTGGCCTTCATTGGAAATTTACAAAATATGTATTTTTAACAGAAAACTTAAAATATTATTATTATGTTGAAGTTTGAGAAAGGCAAAAGGCAAATTTGTCACGTTGGTTTTTTTTAACCACACTGTGACAGCTAATGAAGCAGAGACTGTACAAAATGCCCCCCTTTTCTTTGAATAAGTAAGGTTTTCCTACAGTTAATATTCTTTAAATAAAATGTGTGCTTTTACTTATTGTTCTAACAATATTATTAAATTTTTAACTACAAAGCCTTTTCCTCATATGTAAGTAAGTGTTGCTCTTTCTGGTATTGTGGAATTTAAGCAGAATGTGTCATAATTTTGGGAGCCAAGTTCTAAGCAACTGTAATAAAGTATTTTTATCAAAAAAGTAAAAAAAAATTGCTATGGTAGGGATATTGTTTACTTGATTAAATTTTAAGCAGCTGTTTTAGTAGTTGAAAAAAGCTCTTTATGTGCAAAAATATGTCTGGTACACTAAATGCTGAGGCAAATGATTAGGTCACTTTAAACATTTGGATCTGTTTTTCCTTGTCGTTGAATGTCATCCTGTTTTTATAATTCATGATCATATGCTTATTTCCATCCTCACATTTTGCTTATTTGAGCAACTATTTCTACTTTGTATAAAATTATAATTTAAAAACTTGGTTTGTTCCAAATAAGTTGATTTCCCCGTTGACTTTTATTTTTGAAAAAATTGGTATAGAGAATTTCTTTTTTAAGACAAAATCTAGGGGGAGGCATAGTGGAATCAGCTACTATTCTGGGGTGTTGTTGGTTACCTCTGTTTTGTGGGTTGTACACAGAAACTAAATTACTAAAATGTATCATCTCTCCAGGCTTGGACAAAGAGGAATTTTGCACATTACCTTTAATGACTTGCTAAACAAGATATACCAGTTTCACTGATCAACAGAGGTTCAGATTAAATAGCTTCCCAAAAGTCACACAGAGGCAGAGCAGTGATTGGAATTTTGTGCTCGTTGATTATGTAGCCTGTACATTAGCCAGTCTGCCACGTTCCCTGTTCACGTTCAATTTATTCATTTGTTCATGTAATAAGAACCTGGAGAAAAAAATCTCAACCTTTTCTGGCCTTCTGTTTGCTTTTCTGTCATATACTTGTACATTATCAGATTAATTGACTCATTTACCTAAAATTTGATGTGTGTGCAAGAAACTGTGCTAGGAATAGGGTAATCTCACATATAAATTAATACCAGTTCAGAGAATATATGGGAGTTTGGAGGAAGCACATGAGTGAAGTAGATGATCAGTGAAGATGCCATGAGTAAGCATTTGAGCTGAAACTCCAGCAGTGGTTAGGACTTCAATAGAAGCAATGAAAGAAAAGCCTTCCAGGGGCCTAGCACAGCCTGAGCAAAGGCCCAGAGGATGGAAAGCATGTTAGGTGCCTCTGAGTAGGAGATCATTACAAGATTTGCCATGGGGCCAGATTTATGGAGGCTGTTGAGAAGGCTGTGGTGTTTGTAAATTTAAGAATTCTTCCATTGCATGGAGCACTGGGTGTTACACGCAAACAATGAATCATGAAACACTACATCAAAAACTAATGATAGACTGTATGGTGACTAACAGCATAAAAAAAAAAGAATTCTTCTGTATCTAATATTCTAAAAAGTGTTCATTCTAAATGATTATTTATTAAATTTGCATAGTGTACGAAGCTCTGTGCTCTCTGTTACGGTGCTTCGAAGTGGTCTGACCTTTTCTTCCCACAGTTACACATTCATCACCTCCATGTAATGGGCCCAAGCACAACACAAATCCAAATGTATATTGTATTTGTTTCCTGAGGCTGTTGGAATAAATTACTACAAACTTGGTGGCTTATAACAGCAGGAATTTATTCTCTCATAGTTCTAGAGGCCAGAAGTCTGAAATCCATACTCCCTCTGGAGCTCTAGGGGAGAATCTGTTCTTTGACTCTGAGTAGCTTTGGTGGCTGATGGCATTCCTTGGCTTACAGCCACATCCCTCCAATCTTGGCCTCTGTCCTCACATCACTCTCCTCTGTGTGTTTATTTTTCCTCTTCTGTCTGTGAAATCTCCTTCTGCCTCCATTCATAAGGACAGTTGTGATGGCACCCAGATAATCCAGGGTTATCTCCTCATTGCAGAATCGTTAATCACATCTGCAAAGACCCTTTTTCCAAATAAGGTTATATTTACAAGTTCCAGGGGTTAGGCCTTGATATCTTTGGGTGGCCGTTATTCAATCCACTACATACATCTTACTACAGAAATCATATGGGGTGATTTGGACATTTTCTCCCTCTCATTGGGGAGCAATACTCACTAAGCAATGTGGAATCCAGCTGGAAAGCCACTGTTGGCCAAGAGCAATGCATGCTGTCTTTATTCACTCACTCATACACTTCAGAACCAACTGTGCTGGTTGCTGGAGAGCGAGGTAAACAGAAGCCTTCAGACAGCAGGGTGAGAGCAGTGATTGAAGCAAGAACAGGGGGCACAGAGAGAAGGAAGGTGCCTAACCCAGCCACGATTGAGCGGGGGAGGCTATTTAGAGGAGGTGAGGTCCAATCTAGACCTGAGGAACACAGAGGAGTCCCCCAAGGAGTGTGTGTGTTGTGGGGGGGCGGGGGTTCCAGACAGAGAAAACCGTACAAACACCTGGAGGCCCAGGCAAGAGATTGACAATAGGGATAGAAGTGAATGGGTGGATTCAGAGAATCCTGTTGAGAAGGTGAACCTGGCAGGAGCTAGGGACTGATGGGCTATAGTGGAGGATGAGGGAGGGGCTGGGAGAACACTGTCTGCTTTGGGCAGCCAGGTTGATTTAGCCCGACAGGAGGCACAGGAGGAAAGGCTGCTTTGTGGGGCTGGGGCCATTAGAGACAAGATGATGAGTTTTGTTTGGGAGAGTTGTTTATTCCCTAATCCATCTCTCTCTCTCTCTCTCTCTCTCTCTCATTAAAAACCACCATGGCCAAAGATAAGGTGGTATCTTTTGCCAAGTTAGCAGTTTTCTTTGTATTTACTCTCACTCAGAACCCTGGAACACTGCCACGAGATGATTCATATGTAAATTATTTGGAGTTAGAGTCCTGAATCACTTAACAGGAATAATGGTAGATGGCTGAATAATGTAAGTTCACGGCAGTTTGAGAGAAAAGTGACGCTTGTACTGTATTGAGAGATTTTTTCCTGGCAAATGTAATCTAGAGAGTGTTTTTACGTATTGGGCACAGTGATTCCACAGGGGTTGCCTAAGAAATCGGAGATGACATTTGTAAAGATTTTTATGGGCTACTTTTGTCTTGCTTCCGACGATGATCAGTTTAAAAAGCAGGTTGTTCCTTCCCACACAGTTTTACAGGCACAGTCAGAGGTTGGGGGACAAAGGCTACCATCTCCCACATTCCAGCAGAAACTCACTGAGTGAGTAGAACCCTAGCCTTCGTGGAGGAGAGCCCAGGGCTGAGCTAATGAGCCATGGCGGGCGGCATGCGGCAGCACTTGCTCAGTATTTCAGATGTAGCGCTGCTGGTGGTTCTGGGGAAGTTCCACAATCAGAAAGTTCCCAGAAGACTTTCTCTTGAGCCTTTCTTGAAAAAGATAACTTTTGAGAGGTGTTGTCTCCCTAGGTGGTAGACATCTTATTTTAACAGGGATTTGAGAGAGCTCCTGGGGTACTGGTGATAGGGATGATTTTACATGTGTCACTCTCAATTAGCATCCCTACCAGAGCCCCTGAATAGAGGGAAATTTACAGACTCCTCCAACTTCAGAGACAATAGGGAGGAAGGGGGGGTGTACTGAAGTGATAGATCCATTTAGCTTTTAAAATAAAACGCCTTTCTTACTGCAGTGGTAGTAGCTCCTGTTGTCTTGGCTTCACGTAGAGTGAAAGAAATGCATTTGCTCGCCTTTACGTGTTCGCAGAAGTACATCTAACTCTGCCTGTTAGTGTGATAAAGGGCAGACTTGGCACAGATGATCCAGAGGCCTCGAAGTAAATGAACCAATGTGGAGTGTTTGCTGAGTCTTTGTCCCTGTGGCCACAAGGAGTTGGCTGTCAAGCTGCTTCTCTTGGGAGGGACCAGGGCACTGTTTGCTGCTTGGTGCTGCAGCTCTGTAACTTAGAAGGGATTGCTAATGGGTCGGCGGCCCTGTCCCCGGCCTCCCTGTCGTGGTTTGTTAGGGTCTGAGATCTGGAAGCCTTTGCTGAGTCTCAGGCTGGATGGAGACTTCCCACCCCTGCTCATTAAGGGGCATAGATTTTCCTCCCTGCGCAAAGCCTGGTGTGATTCTGCCTGGACCTCTCTCATTCCTGTCTTTTCAAGGAATTAAGTATTTTCTGCTTTGCAGCTATCATTTTCACTTGGAAATATTCTTTTACCGAAGTATTCCTTTTTAAAAGGTGATATTGTGTTGTACAAAAAATGTGGGCTTGGATGTCAGAAACCTAGGTTTGCATTTTCCCTCAAAAGACTGTTCTAAGGATAAAGTGTTAAGACATTACACAAATACTTCCTTTGCAAAGAGACTGACAAATAGTGACTAGGTTCCTAGTAAATGTTGGTTCTTTTCTTTTCTTGCTTCAGTTTAGTATTTGCACTGTCATTTGCCAACATTCACTGAGTGACTACTTGGACAAGCACAGTGCATTCAGCGCTGGAGAAATGGCCCATGTGGGCAGGAGTTTGCACAGGGTTCCTGTGGATGCTCCTCATTCATTTGATATAATGTATATTAATCTGTTGTTTGAAGTGGCTTAGAGTAAAAAGACATGTCCACATGGATGCATGAAGTGGAGAACCTAAATGACATCTTGACCTAGACATAATTATCTTACCACTTCAGTGGAACACTAAATTTAGTGCTAAGATTGATGATAGCAAAGGTGAAAGGAACACTATGAGGGGGACACACACACACACATACACGGATATATACATATGTGTGTATTTAGGTAGCAAAAGCTCTCTCTCATATGGTAAGTTTTATGTAAAAGTTATATTTGAAAACCCAGAATGTGTCAGAGGGCAATTAGTTAATTTAACAGAGCATACCCTAAATTCAAAATAATTTATTGTTACAGCTCATGAGGATTAACAAATGTGATTTTATTGAAATGTTTTCATGCCTCATAAAAATAGAGCAGTAGTTGTTCATGATTCATGTTTGGCGTATTGAGAATAATTCCTTAATGCTGTGGGTAAACATTTTGCTACAGTGCTGATCCCAGCTGCATGACTCACCAGGATTGATAATCAGGTAGTATTTTCAGGGAAGAGGTTAGAGCTAAAATGAAAATAGTGGTCCCTGTGGTACTCAATGTTTCCTGATTTCTGAAATACGAGACTGTAAGGAACATCCTTCTGGCGAATGATTCCATACCCAGCCATAGAGGGGACCTTTTTTTTTTTTTTCTTCTCGTACGTTCAACATGAAATTCAAATTCATATTAGTAATGGTTTAAAAAAATTTAATGCTCAAGTTGTATTCCATACACATGCAGTTTCCTTGTATACTTGATCTTGAGTTTGAGTGTATACTCAAAAAGTGGTTCCAGGGGCGCCTGGGTGGCTCAGTCAGTTAAGCATTTGACTCTTGATTTCAGCTCAGGTCATGATCTCAGGGTCATGAGATTGAGCCCTGTGTCGGACTGTGCTCTGGGCGTGGAGCCTGTTTAACATTCTCTCTCTCTCCCTCTCTTTAAAAAAAAAAAAAAAAAAGTGGTTCCAGCTGAATCACAAAGCACGGTGCTTTGTGCCCAAGCTTTCTCAGTGTCATGACCTCTTAAGCATTGGCGGTAATGAAGAGACAAGAAGGTAGTATATTTTATGTGCCAGGGTGGCACCATTGAGCCCTTTCAAGGGACATTTTGAGGATATCAGTTCCTTTTTGTTAGTGACAATGACATGTCACACTGACTTGTCCTGTCCCTATGGAAACCAACTCAGCCAGGGCTTGGTTTTGTCTTTGCACCAAGGGAGATGCTTCCTTCGGCATCCAGTCTACAGTAGTGCATCTTCCAGAATATAGAGCTAGAGAAGAGGTTTCTGTGGTTTCTGACCCACCTCTCTAAACCCTCTCTAAACCCTTCCTTTGACAGGAGCACCTGATTGAGAATGAAGTGTCCATCCTGCGCAGGGTGAAACATCCAAATATCATCATGCTGGTTGAGGAGATGGAAACAGCTACTGAACTCTTCCTGGTGATGGAATTGGTCAAAGTAAGAGGATGGAAGATTTCAAGAGATTTCATTGGTGCCAAATCCCAAGACTTACCATATTCTTGAAGGCCCTAATTGGAAACATGTTTTGCTACCTTGAAACTTTTGTTATTTATAATAATTGTTCATGGCACTTGTGTCATTTTTTTCATCTACTCCAGGCTGATGAACCTTCTTTGTTACCTTCATAGGATTGTCACTGTTGACGTTTTGCTGTGTTCTTTTATGTGTCCATCAGGGTGGAGATCTCTTTGATGCAATTACCTCTTCAACCAAGTACACTGAGAGAGACGGCAGTGCGATGGTGTACAACCTGGCCAATGCCCTCAGGTATCTTCATGGTCTCAGCATTGTGCACAGAGACATCAAGCCAGAGAACCTCTTGGTATGCCATCTCTGCTTTTTTTGTTCCAATTCATCCTCTCTTCCTTTAAAATGACATGATCACATGCAAACAATGTCACTTTAGAGTCTGTACCAATCCTGCAATAAGGGACCGAGAGAATTTTTTTTTTTTTAAAGATTTTATTTATTCATTTGAGAGAGAATGAGATAGAGCATGAGAGGGGGAGGGTCAGAGGGAGAAGCAGACCCCCTGCTGAGCAGGGAGCCCGATGCGGGACTCAATCCCGGGACTCCAGGATCATGACCTGAGCCGAAGGCAGTCGCTTAACCAACTGAGCCACCCAGGCGCCCCAGGGACCGAGAGAATTTAAATTTAGAGAATCACCATGGCTCAAGTCAGTGACCATAAATTATTAATGGATTTCTTAAATTGATATGCATTTCTGTATTTATTATTTATCAGACATTAGAAAACACGTTTCCATTTGCATTTTGATTGATGGTACTGATGAAAGAAAGGTAAGAAGGAAAACTATGTTGTGAGGCAAAACTTTGAAGAATAAATTAGACAATTAGGAGCTTAGAGGAGACAGAAATAGAATATGATGGTTCATGTATGTGCAGGACAGAACATTGGGAATAATCTAGTCCATTTACCTCAGCTTTATAGGTACAGAAATTTAGACTCAGATGCTAATTTTTCTGGCTGAGAAGTCCCCTGCGTCCCATTGTTCTACAGAAGAAAGTCTGTGGCACTCAGAGGGCTTCATAATCTGGTCCCAATTTACCTTTCCAGCCTCCTCTCCTGTTACTAACCCTTCCCCACCCATCTGTCCAGACTGGCACTCAATCTTCATGTCATATTTAGCACATCTCCATGATGGCCTTAGTAAACACAGCTTGCTAATTGGACCAACCTTTGTGTCTGCATGGTAGAGGAATTTTAGAGAAGCTTACTAGGGACTTCGACCATCACACATACCCCCAAACACACACAGGACCATTTTTTCGTCTATTTCTACCTTTCAGGGCTGAGTATTGTCATCATTATGGCTTAGGAGGTGGGGTTTTCTGAGTATTCTATATCATGATAATCCAAACTCTGATTTTCCCATCCCTAGTCGTTAGTTAAGACTTAACTTTATCAACACCATTACGTATCATTGCTTATTTCCATACTGGTCTACATTTGCAATGTCCTCTCCTGGCAACGTGGCAAACGTGTTCCTCTCATAAGACACTGAGCAAAAGGCATGTCTTCTTTGACATCACTCCTGACTTCCTGGACAGAGTCAATCATGGCCCCCTCTAGTTTCTGCTCTACATGCCCTGGTGTGGTGAGTTTATCATGTACTTGAGTGACTCCTTCTCTAGATAAGCACCATTAGGGGCAAGGTTTGTGTCTCCATTATTTGCATGTCACCAGTGCCCGGAACAGTACCAAGGAAGCACACGGTGGACGTGGAGTAAATGGTTGGTGCCTGAGCATTAACAGTCATTCAGCTAGCTAACAGCTGGTACTCGAACTCAAGTCTTTCCAGCTTGCCTCATACTCGCACTGTGCAAATAATTGTTCAAAGGAGTATGCATTGATGTTGAGGCTTTTAGGCCATCCTGGGAACTTTCTGTGAATCCATCTTCCCCTTTTGGTAATACCATTTGATGATTTCTGAGTATCCATTTAAAAGTATGTGAGATTTTTTTTTTCTTTCTTACTGTCTTCTGCCTTGAGGAGTTATGTTTCATGTCTAGATTTTCCTATTGGGAAAATAAATATCCTTTCTCTGTAAAACAAGATGTATTATAGACTTGGTTTTATGAACTCTAAGAAGGAATGGAGACAATTGTAGACTGGGCCTCAGGACAGAAGTGAGGATATGGTGTTCTCTCCTCAAAACAGTCTTCTCAGCCATTATGACCTGTCGGGCCCAGGCTCCTCCACCACGGGACTGAGATTGGCCAGGGGCTTCAGAAACAAGGGTAGCAGGGCTTCCTCTGGCTATGGCCAGATGTCAATGCCATAGTGTTAATGAGGATGCCTCCTTCATTTCTCCCTGCTGTCCATGGCCCACCTCACCCTGGTGGCTGTGGTTATTGATGTTTTCTGGAAATACAGAGCCACAGGTCCCTAAGGACAATAGGTTACTGTGGAGCCAGCCCATACTGCAGCTCTGATTGCTGAGGCCCGGTGAGGAAGGTGACTGAGGTCGTGGCGAACTCGCCTGTAAGCCAGGCAGTGTCCATTTCCCAGCTCATTGATTCCACTCTCACCTGCCCTTTCTTCTGTTTTCCACTCACAATGTGTGGAACATCTCAGAGTCCGATACTGCCTCCTTTTCTTGTGTCACATGATGGGAACCAGGGGTCTCCAAAATGACCTGTCTCAGAATGTAACCAGGAAAGTGGAACCAACTTCCTCATCCAGTCTAACTTGCCCTAGATGAGTCTTCACCCTTTTCAAGACCTGCCGTAACCCCACTCTGCTACCCAAAGGGGAGGAGAAGGAAGAAGATGATAAAACGGATGTCTGGATGAGGCTAATGTGTGATATAAAAGGGTCAGGCTTTCGAAGCCCTTAGCGGCACACGTCTAAGTAAAATATGTGCCTGCCATTGAAAACTTAACTAGACCACTCTGCAGATTCTGCATTTAGTCAGCAGGTTGGCATTGCCCTAGGATGAGAAAGTGCCACTGAGGCACTAAAAGTAAATACAAAGAGTGACTGCCAGGCTCTTCCTACTCTAAAAGCGAATTCCGTTGTTAAGCACCAGAGCATTCAGACATCTGATTTGCATCGCCTTCTCCGGGAGCAGTGTCATAATTTAAACCCCTGCCAGCAGAGATGTATGGGTCGCTGTGTCAGGGAGCACAGGGGTGGCCATTAATGCTGTGAGTTACAGCCTGGTGGTGCCCTGTCAGACTTAACTATGAGAGACCAGTGATAAATTCTGCTTTTCCAGGAGTTCTGGGGACTGGGGAGAGGAGAGGGTCGGTTTCTCATATTTGAAGCCCTTCTAAATCATTATGTTGACATTTTATTTAGAGAACACGCAGTGTCCACTCCGTATGTGGGATCTGCATTCCTCACATCTTAAACTTTTGCATTCTGAGTGCAACTTTTGACAGAGCACATCTCAGCGGGTGGCGGTGGGGCATTTGAGCGGTTGCGGTTGTTGAGATTACTCAGCATCTGTGTGTGGGTGCAGGCTGCAGTCGGGGTTCTGCCAGGACCACTCTCTTGCCTTCAGACTTGTTGCAGGATGGTGCCGTGGGATGGTAAAGGTACTGGCTGGAATCCCCACTTGGTAGCTCTTAGCAACTTGAGTTCTCTGTGCCTCAGTTTCCTCATCTGTAAAACAGAGGTAACAGTTATTTTCCTATTCACTCGGGGTGGGGGGGTGGTGACTCTCAGGTCCAGTGAGACCATGTGTGGAAAAAGCATTGGAATCTCTGTAGTTCTGTGAGATGTCAGTAACTGGGGAGAGAATGGAGCACTCTGCCAAAACAGAAGTCCTTTGGAGTCCCCTATGCATTTGTTCAGCTCTTTCTTCAAATCAGTCTCTTAAAGCAATGCCATATGTGTGTATGTCAGTGTCAGTCTCTTAAAGCGATGTCACACATGTGCGTCTGTATGTATTGATACATATTCCTGCTTTGAAGAGAATTTCCAGCTAAGATTTTGAAAAGGACTCCTATTATCTTTCACATATTTGCCTCTGTGTCTAGCGTTGGGAAGAGATGAATCAGATAAAGTATTATTTCAGGCTTGTCTGCTCCTTATGACACTTCTCTTTTGATGTTTAGCCAAGGAGTGCCACTTGCCCAGACATAATTCAGTAATTATGAACTGCCCAGTACCTTTCTGTTTATGCTCCTGCATCTGACTCGGAATTCCTTATAGGGGATATGAGAAATGGGGCTTTGGGGACTTCTGAGTATCTGACGACAACCCTCAAATACCCCCAGGCATCTGTAAATTGCATGTCTAAAGTAAACACTATTTTTCAAAAAAATACCTAATGAGTGTATTTTAAACTTGTAAAAACAAAATAACAATGACATTAATAAAACTTTTTTTTTTTTTTTTGCTTTCATGATACAGACATTTAAAATTATAATGTTGCTTAGAATGTTCTTATCACTGCAATTACTTAGGGAATTTCTGAAGTCTGGGTTTCAGTAAATGCGTCATAAATTCTAACTGTAGTTCTCGATATCGGATTGTTCTTGTTAATGTTTACATTAAACATAATGGATGGAAAGTCGTCCTAAGACCCTGGCAAGACGGAGAACCTGGTTTCTCCTGCTTTAGGCTAAATCATTAGTAGCTTTGAATATGCCTCTGCTGAGCTGTGGCTGACTCAGAATGATAAATATCTGTGAGGGACTCCACAGCCTCACCATCACTCCCATGAAACCTAGAAGTCATAAAGATGTGTGCAGGGGATGTATACTTAGTACATAAATGTGGAAGCAGTTACTAAAATACTAAGGTGAAAAACATTCTTCTTAAACCGATGAGGACATCACAGGTAAGGAAGGTATTCCAGTGTCATGCTTTTTAAATGCCTCTCTAGACTGGGTATCGCTGACATGGGGGAGCCCTGAGGTTTTGATGCTTTTTCACGATGTCTATAAATCACTCCCCCTCATTAAGTATCAGACTAATGGAAGATGTTATTAACATGCTTATCTTGAAAAAACATAATTTTCTAAATTGCTCATCCTTTAGTAAGGAGTGGTTTGAGTGAGGATCTGGTTCAGTTCATAGTAAAATATGAGGAAAAGCAAACTAAATAGAACACAATTATAAAAGTAGGGAAAGACATTACATTAGTACAGATTAGATCTCTGCAGTTATTCTCTGAAATTCACCCTTCTCAAAATGGACATCTGAGAGATGAATAGGCAAGCACGTTAAAGTTTATGCAGTTAAATCTAAAAACCATCTATTTAAAATGTAACTTTCAGACTTGGATCCCATAAGGAAAGTTTGCTTATATATAAAATTAATTTTTCTTGATTATAGAACCAATACGTGTTCATTGTAAAGATTTTGGAAACCTATTGAAAAGTATAAAGAAGAAAGCTAAAGTAATCTTTAGTGCTACTCCCTAGAAATAAACTGAATGTTTTGGTGTATTATACTGAATATATAATTTTGAATATTCTTTTTTCCTGTAATATAGTGAATATTTTCCATAGGATTAATACTTATTTGAAATGTGCTTATTAGTGACTGTATAGTGTTTTATTATAGGAATGTACCATGATTTATGAAGTCATTGTCCTATTTGCCATTTATGTTCCTTCCAGTTTTTAAAAACATAGATAAATTCTGAGATTGGTGGCCTTGTGTGTAACCTTTGGGTTCATCTCTATTCCCTTAGAATTGGTTCTTAGAAGTAGATTTACTGGATCAAGTGTTATAAATAATTTTTAAGAAATTCACATGTTGCTGAAATGTCTTCTAGAAAGACTGCTTCCCCTGTAAGCAAAGCGCATTCATATCTTCACCAGCATTGTTAAACCATTCCTAATATGTTATTTATCTTATCAGCCAGTCCTTCTGGGAAAGGAAGGAGCATTCATTGAACCCTGATCCAAGCTTGGTCTCTTCACACCAACCCCATGGGTCAGGGACTATTCTCATCTCTCACAGGTGAAGAAACATGTTCAGGGAGTGACTTGCGAAGGTCACGAAACCAGGAAACGGGTGGAGTGGTTGGTTATTCAGGTTCAGGCTGTCTGTTCCCAAGTTTATTTTCTTTCTAAACTTACAAAATTTTCCCCTGTGAAATATTTATATTCATCATTGGACTGTCCAAAAAAACAAATCCGGATTTTATGTTCTAAAGTAAACATGGAAGTGTTTTAGTGGACACAACAAACACCATTTCTGAGACTCTCAAGTACCTCACACACCGTGAACATGTAACAACAGTCAGTTTCCTGCTTCCGGATTTAGAGGCCTCTCAAGCCACATCGGGTAAGCAGCTGCCTACACCCCGCCTGTTGTGTCAGCCCATATTCATTTTACTCCTAGATAAGGAGCTTTTTACAAAGATGGAAGATACCGTCTTTCAAATTCCACACAATCATGCGAAGTTTCTAAAGAAAAAATTTAGAGCTTTAAAGCATCAAAAATAAATCATGGTGTTATTATCACAGGGAGAGTTTTGTTTTTTTGGTTTTTTTTTTTAGTTGATGAATACATCTATCTGTGTCGTTTCTACCTAATTCCAAGGGCCCTTTTGGAATCATTGAGAAAAGGAACTACTGATCATTGGCTGGTTTCTGTTCCAGGTGTGTGAATATCCTGACGGAACCAAGTCCTTGAAACTGGGAGACTTTGGGCTGGCCACTGTGGTGGAAGGCCCTTTATATACAGTCTGTGGCACACCGACTTATGTGGCTCCAGAAATAATTGCTGAAACTGGGTAAGACTCCTGGTAGCTCTGGTTGGTACTCTCACTTTGGTGGAAAAAGGTATGTGTAGCTGCACCAGCTGCTGTGATTTCACTGGCCTCCTGGGAAGGTGGAGGGTGGGAGAGACTATCACCTGCATCATGACTTTGATCATGACTTTGTGCTTCTATGTCCAAGAGCCATAGGCCTGGATTTTTGTCCCGAGGCCAATCTTGGAAATACAGCAGTAGCCCCCAAGACCGTGGTTAGATTGGGAGAAAAGTAGATGCCTCTGTCCAAAGGGCAGTTAATTCCTTTACGTGAGATGAGTGCTTTGACACCGAGAAAACCCTTTTTCATAACAAATAAAGGCAAGTATTCCAGTAGCGTGGAGGGTCCTTGGGGGGTAGTATCTTTATTTCTCCCCCTCCACCCACTTTGTTTTCCCAGCTATGGCTTGAAGGTGGACATTTGGGCAGCAGGCGTGATCACATACATACTTCTCTGTGGATTCCCACCATTCCGAAGGTCAGTGGCTCTTTGAGTAACAGCATTTGAATTGTAAACTCCCTCTGATTGGCAGACATCCTCATCCTGGCAATCAGGACCAGTAACTGGTCAATAAAAATGTCAGTTAAAAATTATATAAACAGGGGCGCCTGGGTGGCTCAGTTGGTTAAGCGACTGCCTTCGGCTCAGGTCATGATCCTGGAGTCCCGGGATCGAGTCCCACATCGGGCTCCCTGCTCAGCAAGGAGTCTGCTTGTCCCTCTGACCCTCCTCCCTCTCATGCTCCCTCATTGTCTCTCTCTCAAATAAATAAAATCTTAAGAAAAAAAAAATTAAAAAAAAAATTATATAAACATACCTTTCACTTTTTATCTTATTTTGCAACTATTAATGGATATTCCTTGACCACACTTTTGATGTGAGGCCAAGGCCTTTGCTTGGTGTATGGTCCTCTGAGTTTCTTACGGTCATTCTTCTGTAAAACACACCCATCATCCAATGTCTACAATTTCCATTCTCAGTCTTTTTCACGGGTGGTAAGATTGAAAGATGCTTGTGAAGCAATCTGATCCTTCTAGGTAAACAAACCTTTTTCCTGTTGTTAAAGTCATTTCTCCTACTTAATTTGACAGCAGGTCTTTTTTTTTTTTTTTTTTTTAACAACTCACTTTCCACAGCATTCAACTTAGTTCTCATAGACTCATAGAAACAGTGAATTCTTTCTTTTAAAATTAATTTCATCTGTTTACATAATATTTAATGCAGTAGAATTACAAATACTTTTAGCATAAATAGGCCTGGGAATACACAGACTTACTCTTGGTAATGGTGTATCTCACCTGGGGTGGGGAGCGGAGGTGGCCACACACAGGCCTCGGGGTGGGTGACACACGGCCCAGGGCACACTCAGTACCCCAGCAGCATGTACCCAAAGGGATTGCAGGGCTTTGGCCACAGTGCTGCTTTTGGTCTGTTCCATCACCCTCTTTGGAGCAAATGAATGCCTTGGAAGTAGAAGTTCATCTAATGATGCAAGTATGTTTTTCTTCTGAGTTTTCTTGAGTTCTCTCTTCATTTTCATCCTTCTTTTTGTTCATTTTATAACTACTGTTGAGTAACTGCTGTGAGCCAGGCACTGTTCTAAGCGTTGGGATTCAAATGGCAAACATCGCATGTTCTCTGATGTCGTATTTATTTATGGTGTGGTATTAGGTCAGTAAGTTCAATAGGTTGAATACACTGCTCCCCCCCCCAACATTTTATTATAAAGCTTTGAAACATACAGGGAAGTTGGAAGGTGTACCTTTTTTTAAATGATCAATTTTCAATTGAGTTGAACAGTTTTCTTTTTACTGACATTATGGTAAACGTAAGAGTGACACGGAGATTTCAGTCTCTACTTTTGAGAGCCTCATCATGTAAAGATACCCATCACCAGAATATTGATCAAGAAGAATAAAACTAAAAACATGAAGACATTTAACAAAGGTTAAATGAAAGATAGAGTATTTGAGTGGGACCTTGTCCTTGTGGCTGGGGTTGGGTTTCTGCAGGTGGGAAGCTTTTTCTGTCTGGCCATCAACATCATTAGGGCCGTTGCCTAGCTGGATTACACAGACCGTAGGATTACTGCACTTGTCAGCTTTTGCTGACTAACAAACTACTCCAACAGCTGTCAGTCAGTTCTGTGGATCAATTGGGCAGTTCTTCTGATTTGGGCTGGCTAATTGGGACTTGGTGGTTCATTGTGGCATCACTCAAATGCCCAGAAGTTGGCTCAGTGTCAGCGGGGACCACAGATAAGACTTGGTTAAGTGCCTTTCAGCATCCAGTAGGTTAGCCTCAGTTTCACATGCTGGTGGCTACAGGATCCCAAAAGCAGCCAGAGAGAGGTCAAGTTCCTTTGCCCAACCCCTTTCCAAGTCTCCAGTTGACTCACCTTTGTTGATTGATGTCCCACTGACCAAATGAAGTCAAATACCTGAGCCTAGAGTAAATTAACCAGGTCTGTTCCCTGGAGGGGAATAATTTGTGGCCATTTTACATTTACAGTTCCATTGGGTTCTGGCTGGTTTGGGTGATGAGCTGTTTGAGGAACTAGTCAAGTGCAGGGGTAGCATGTAATCATGGGGCCAATTATAGCAGAGTTCCCCTCCTAGGTTAACCCAAGTTGAGATCAGTTGGGAAAGGGTTATCAGGGATCAGTTTAGAGGAGTGTGTGCTCACAACTCCCTCTAGTGTTTCCACGTGCCAGGGCGGTCTGCGGGGTTTTTATTTGATTTTGCTTTTTACTTTTTAACAAAAGCGAGACTGAGATTGAACAGTGTGTATTGCTAGTGACTTGTTGCTCAGCGGACAGCAGCTTTTTTGTGGGAACTGGAGGTAAGTCTGGCTAATCAAAGCGGTCAAGCTACCTTATGAAAGCTGCTGACTTATATTCAGAAGCTGGTCCTACAACCACGAGGTTAGTTACGGCCTGAGGAAGTCTGTTCTTGGGGCCACTGACATAAAGTGATATTTGCATGACTGTACTGTTAATATTGTTGTTTCTGAAACATACATTCATTCTCCCCATAAGTGAACTGTTTGAATATCCTTTGTAACATTTCAAGTTACCTCATCAGACCTTTAACAGTTTGCCGTTGAAGAGGGAGTGTGCTCAAACTCCTATTGTTTTCAAGGTTTTTCTTGACGTACATTTTAAAACTTACTGCACCTTGATCCGTGGGCTGTACTGTTTTAGGATTTAAAAGTGCCCTGAAGCATCTCAGCCAGATTGTGGAGTATAAATGTGTTAATAAGTCCAGTGTAGATTTAATCGGAGTGGCTTTTACTATGTGACTATTTAGAAGGATAAATTCACTTTCTGTTCTTCTGGGGAGGGGTGGCCTGAAACTCTCAAAGCGCTTGCATTTCTCAGTGTGGATCCTAAAAGGTGCCTTCTAATTGCTGAGACCCTATGGGCTGGCGTTTGTTAACTCAGACTATTTTGCCAAGAACCTAAATGACTGGCTGCAGCTACACTTCCAACTTTTTAGCTGTTTACTAACAAAATAAAAGCCATATATGTTAACAGAATAGGAGCTTTTTGGTATTCCAGACAATAAAATGGAGATGAATGATAGAGAAGAATGGCTAAAAGGAATGGTTCTGGAAATGGGTGATTTTTAACATCTTTTGCTAACATTGTCTTCTGGGGTCCTCCAGTCTCCTAAAGATGTCTGTAAAATCTCATTGTGTTCTTATGTGCCTCCTTCACTCATTTTGAGGGAGAGTTGACAGTAGGAAAGTAACAGTGAAAAAGAAAACATTCAGACACTTAGAAAGAAATAATCTGTGCGCCCTCCTAGACAAGCACTTTCCAGGACAGCAGTGGGGATCTGTTGCCTCACTAGGTTGTCTGGCCTGACTTCTCCTCAGTGTGCCTCTTGACCCAGACTTCACAGACTGGCAGAGGTCGATTCAGCTGGGCTTGGGGAGATGTCACGGACGTTCCCAAAGCTCGCAGACTCTGTAGGCATACCTCGGAGACGTTGGGAGTGCATTCCCAGGACACTGCAATAAAGTAAATACCACAGTAAAGCGAGTCCAATGAATTTTCTGGTTTCCCAGTGCATATAAAGGTTATGTTTACACTGTACTGTAGCCTATTAAATAGTGTGCAATAGCATAATGTCTAAAAAAAACAAAGTACATACCTTCATTTAAAAATGCTTTATTAAAAAAAAGACGGGTGCCTGGCTGGCTCAGTAGGTAGAGATTATGACTCTTGATCTCAGGGTCGTGAGTTCAAGCCCCATGCTGGGCATGGAGCCTACTTTAAAATAAAAAAATAATAATAAATAAAAAGTACTTTGTTGCTAAAAAATGCTACCCATGGCTTGAGCTTTAGCAAGTTGTAGTCAATGATCAGAGATCACCATAACTGATAGAACCATAATGAAACTGTGAAATATTGCGAGAACTACCCAAATGTGACACAGAGACACAAAGTGAGCAAATGCTGTTGGAAAGTGGTACTGATGGACTTGCTCAATGTAGGGTTGCCACAAACCCTCACTTTGTAAAAAAAAAAACAGATGAGCTGCAAAGGTGCAGTAAAGTGAAGCACAAATAAAATGAGGTTTGCCTATATTCTTGTTCACTGAACAGGAATGGGATCATCATATCATCAGACAGCCCCAGAGTTTGTCTCTAGGCATGGCCTTAAGTGACCTATTTCTGTGGACGCCACAGGTGCTTACTCGGAGAAGGCAGTTAGTGGGCCTGGGCTTCTGTGTAGAAGGCTGCGGAGGGTCCCATGTGAGTACGCTGAGCAACAGGTGCAGGGGCCCTGTTGGGAACTCCCAAGAGAAAGATAGCACACTTGCTAGCCGAGACTGATTCCACTCCTGGATTTTGACCCTGACTCTAACAGCCCATCCTGAGTTTTCCAGTAAGGCTGGGTAATGGTCTGAAAAGCTAAGGACTTTGTTTTCACTCAGGCCATTGATGCACCCACCAAGTGAGAGGGGTGGAGGGTGGCTCTGTGGCTCTGTTTTCTGGGAAGTTGGGGACATCCAGCTTCCTGAATTTTTCCTAGTAGTGTTTGTACATTGCCATGCTCCTTCCATCGAAAGTCAAGTTCTCATTTATTCACTAGGCACCAGCTGTGTGTGTGCAAGAGCACTTGTAAGGGTGGCACACTTAGGCACAGCATGAAGACGGATGCCCACCTGGAGGCGGCCACAAGACCCGTCCACCTCAGCCTGTGCAGTTCCAGTTGCCATTCTTGGATGGGCTCTTTTTTTCAGATGGAGCTTCAACGAAAGTCAAGTTCCAATGGGGAGCTAATCATGTCTTGAATATTGTATTCAGATTCTGGACGCCTTATAGCTTTTTCATCTCTTAGCTGTTTCACTGATCTTGACTGTTTTATTAGGAAAGCAGAAAGAGGAAGGGCAAGGAGATCTGACTCAGATTTGCTACTTTTCCACTCTGATTGCCATGAGAGATTAAGTGAGGCGGATGCCGAGGTGCTTTTTTCTGAAATGAGAACTGACACTATTTGTGGATTTCATTTTTGTCTTGAGTCCTTTTTTTATTTGGCAAAATATATACAACATAAAATTTGCCATTTTAACCATTTTTAAATGTACAGTTTTAGTGGCATTAAGTACATTCACAATACTGTGAAACTGTTACCACCATCCAACTCCAAAATTACTTCATCTTCCCAAGCTGAAACTGTATCCATAAACAGATTCCTTGAGTCCTGTGTTCTCTCTCTCCCTGATACCCAGGCCTATGGAAATGTTCTTTAGCTCACTGTCTAAAAGGAAAAATAACAAGTGCAATTGAGATGTGAAATGCCCAAGCCAAAGAGACTAGACTCCTCACCCCACTCTTCCTGTGACCGTTTTGTTGAAAAACTGTATGGTGACTTTGGTTTTTCTTCCATTTCCTTGTCACTGACTTAGTGAGAACAATCTACAGGAAGATCTCTTTGACCAGATCTTGGCTGGGAAGCTGGAGTTCCCAGCCCCGTACTGGGATAACATCACGGACTCAGCAAAGGTACCATCTGGGTTTGTTCCTGTGGGTTGCTTTTTGTAGAGGGGCCCTCCTCTGTTGCATGGGGCTGTTGCAGCTCTTGTAGTAAGCTCCAGGTCTATCTTGACTTTTAATGTGTGTTTCTTCTTTAAGTTCATTCCACGGTATAGTCTCTGAAATTTTTTTTTAAAATTTTTAAAAAAATTAACATATGATGCATTGTTTCAGGGGTATAGGTCTGTGATTCATTGGTCTTATAGAACACCCAGTGCTCATTACAACAGATGCGCTCCTTAATGTCCGTCCATCACCCAGCCACCCCATCCCTCCCCTCCAGCAACCCTCAGTTTTTTTTCCTGAGATTAAGAGTCTCTTATGGTTTGTCTCCCTCTCTGATTTCATCTTGTTTCATTTTTTCCTCTCTTCCCCTATGATCGTCTGTTTGGTTTCTTGAATTCCACATATCAGTGAGATCATATGATAATTGCCTTGAAACTCCGAAGGGAATTCTGAAGGCCGGACTGGCTGTCTTCCCAGTTTGCCCCTGCCACCCTCCTGTGTTCCTCTAAACCCTAAACATTCGTGTTTCATTTATTTAAAAAATATATATTGGACACCCATCGGAATGTGGGCATGGGACATACCGACTTGCCTAAAGGAACAGTACTGCAGGTTTTAAACTGTGGAATGATGCTAATAACCAGAAGTCTTAGGAGGGAACATGTTGGTTTAATGTCCACCCAGGAGAGGCCTTCTCTTGTCTCGCGGAGCCAGGCGAGGCCGCCGTCTCTGTGCAGCCGCCTGGTGGGCAGAAGGTGTGGAGGGGATAGTAGCTTTGACATTGAAATGGCTGAGCAGCTGTGTTGGCTGGGTCTTTGAAGTACGTGGTGCAAACTCAGATCTCTGTGTTTATGCTGGAATTCCCCACTTCGTCTCCTCTACGGTCTTCTTTTTCCAGGAATTAATCAGTCAGATGCTTCAGGTAAACGTCGAAGCTCGGTGTACTGCGGGAGAAATCCTGAGCCACCCCTGGGTGTCAGTAAGTACCCACGTTCGCAGGGAAGGAACACTTACAAGTTCTGTAACCATCAGCGTGCTTCCTCACTGCGGCTTTTGTGCACACAGAGCTCTGCATCCACGTTCCGTGGCAGGGGGACTGGCTGTTTTCTCTCATGAGCAAGTAGTGTGCAGGTAGCTCTCTGCGAGAAAGCAGTTGGCATGAGGATCTCGGAGTGTTTGACCTGGGCAAGTCACTGTCCCTTTCTGGCCCTCACCTTCCTCATCTGCAAAATGAAAGAGTTGGTCGGAATGCTCTCTTAGGAGCCTTTCACCTTTTGCCTTCTGTGCTTCTGGGGTTTGGGAGTTTTCAGGATTTGCCCAGGGATGAGCATGTTTCAGACCCTGATCCCTATGTCTTGATGGCATGTGATCACAGGAGGGTCACAGGAGACCTCCTGCTGTGGGTAGGAAGGCTGAGACACAGTCCCTTCTGGAGCTGGGTGGAGGGGTCGTGATATCGAGCAGAGTTCTGGGCTTGGTGGTGCCTCTGGGTTTAGGGTAAATGTGATCCATTAAATGGTGCTGGTGGGAGAGTTTGCGTTTCCCTTACTCCCAGAGGCTCTGAGAGAGTGAGGTTAATGTACATAGCCAGGGGCTCTGGCTAGCTTGTTGGGAAGGGGTGGTACCCTGGGCCCCTCCACCATCTCTGTGACCCCAACATCCTGACATCGGGCTTTGGCCTCTCTGGATCTGGCCGAGTGACTTGGGTCTTAGCCCGAGTAGCTGAGATGCCATTTCTTCATGAGCGATAAAGACTAACAAGTAACCGAATTCTTCATTAAAATAATAAACTCTTCATTAATTTTGATGTGTCCATGGGAGGGATCTGTACTAAATTCTATGGGATTTATGCCTTTTGTGGAGAGTCTCAGAAGCCTAAAGAATGTCCTCCTTCGTGCTCTTGGGAGACTGGTGCTCCCTCCTCAGCCCACTGTAGGCTTAAGGAACAGAGTAAATGGCCTGGGGTCTTTGTGAGGACAGAGGACTGCTACACAACAGTAATTATTTTTAAAAGGTCATTGTTCCCCTAACCCTGTGGTAGAGATGGGCCCTTTCAGGAAGAGATGGTGGGGTGGGGGTGACTATTAAGGAAAACACAACTTAGGTGTGAGAATCAGAAATCACTGTATTTGATTCTTTTCTTTTCTGTAGGATGATGCCTCCCAGGAGAATAATATGCAAGCAGAAGTAACAGGTAAACTCAAACAGCACTTTAATAACGCGCTTCCCAAACAGAACAGCACCACCACCGGGGTCTCGGTTATCATGGTAAGTGGAAGGCACCCTGTTCTGCTCTTGGAAAGCGGCAGTGTCTGGCCTGACTGCTCAGCAGACATTGAATCTTTAGAAGTGAATAGCCAAGGGCTTTCCCTCACATGGAAGTTGGCACCTTCCATGTTCCTCTTTTCACTTCAAGACTGGCTTGGCACATGGAGTGCCCCCATCTGGCTGACTCCGGGGCCTGGAGTCCTGGGGGGAGGGGGTTGTGCAGGACCGGCCAGTTGGATGGGCCCGGGCGCCAAGGAGCCCCTGGCCTCTCCTCCCGGGCTCGGCGCCGTCCCTCGTGGCTGCTTCTGCTGTCATCTCTGTGTCTCATCCGGGGAGGGGTTCCCAAGCCTGGGTGGGTTTACAGTCTCAGACAAACTCTGTGAGGTAGGAATTATTCTTTGGGACCTGGGATAAGAAACTGCTAAAGTTAAACAAATTCCTTTTAGAAGTCAGTGTTTTGTGGCTTTTAAAAGTACAGAACAATGTAAAAAAATATTAGTTTTTTCAAGGTTAGATTTTAGGAGAAGTCCGTAACAGTGATCCCCATATTTTTTCAGACCTTCCTTCTTTCAAAATGTTTTTAAGGCAATTTATCTAAACCCATAAACACAACAACTCAAAAGTGGCATGAAAGTAAGGGAAGTAACATTAAGGTACATTTAGTAAAAGGGAAAATAAAGTCAGAAGGAATAAAACTGAGCCAGGAGTGCAGTTAGCTCGCTGAACCAGGCCTGAGCCCTTGCTGAAGCCGGGCCTTCAAGCTGGTTGTGAGCATCTCCCCTGCTGTTTTGGCAGCAGGATACCGAGCCACTAACGTGGGGGGCCGTGAGCTCTGTTCTGCCCATGCCCCCACAGGATCAGGGCCTGAGTATCAGCTGGGGTGGCTTCAGACTCAGACTCTCTAAGGAGACAGGTGCCTGAGTTGTGAGCAGCTTGGCCACCCCTGGCCACCTCGGGTGTTGGTGGTACCCCAGGCCAGCTGGGCACCTGATAGCCGGTGACAGGCCGGCACCATAGCCCCAGCTTTCTAACTTGGGACAAGCCTCTCACCCTGTGGAAAGGTTCAACTTGTTTTCTACCCGACTAGAAGGAAAGCAGTGGCTTACTCTCTGGCACATTGTAGTCTAGGAACGTTTGCCTAAGAAGATTCTGGGTCCAGATAGAAGCTGGAGGGAACTCCCCCCCCCCCCCCCGCCCCATGCTGTGAACAGAGAACACTGTGGAATGTTTGGTTGAACTTCCACCACCTTAGCACTGCTAATGGTCTGTCATTCTCCTCCCCCCCCCCCTCCCCGGGAGGCTGCGTTGATGTGGCAGCCCTCTGGATGTCCTTTAACTCCCCTGTTCCTCCCCTGCTAGGAAGCGTGCTCTCTCCCTGCTTCCCTCCCCCAGACAAAGCCTGAGCTTGCAGACTGGGTCTCTTGACGTGTTGCAGGACATTGGGGTGCTCGGTGCCAAAGTAATGAGAAGGCCTCTTGAGTTGTGGTTTTCCTAGTATTTTAGCAGCATTCTGCTGAAAGCCCAAGGAAGTCAGAGTTGTCACAGAATTACAGTTTAAACACTTTGAAAAGGACCATCTTGATTGACTCAACAGCCTGAGAACATTTCCAGGTGGTGCCCCTGTGAGAGCGAGCACTGATGGGTGGGATGGATGGCCAGTTACAGCCTGGCCGCGTGCCACTGCAAGGCAGCTTCTGTGAAATTTAGAAAGAAATGAAACATTAAAAATTGGTACCCTTGACACGTACGTAATGAAAACCCTTAAGAAGAGTGTTTTTTAGAATGTTAATTAAGCTTCATAGTCTCCTAGAGGAAGGACCTTTACAGGACTGTGCCCGGGCTTAGGAGAGTTTAACCACCATTGCCTGGGTCATCTATGGGCTTGGGGCCCACACAGGAGTCATGGTCCAAGGCCTGTGGCCCACCAAGGCTCTGGAATGATCCAGCCCTTTCCCTTATGGCCCAATACAGGCTTCGTTCTGGATCATGATATTTAGAGCCTCTCAGAACCTATATCTTAGGGTCTACAAATGATATTTTCTACTTGCTGATGAAGGAGATCAGTAGTCACATTTCAAACCCCTGAGCTTTAACTGGTTGTGTGAACAAACAACCCTTTATTATATTTGTAATTCCAGTGGTGACTGTTCAAGCTGCGTGTTGACATGTATGTTCAGTTGTCATTTTGAGCATGTTGGCAGGGTCCCATCTAACCTCATGTTCCCTACACAACTCTGCAGGTTGTTAGCTCTGAGGAACTGCTGAGTGGCATTATCACATTCAGTACCTACAGGAGAAATCAGTAAAGCTTGTCTCTGGAGGTACCAATTCTCAATGGCCAAAAAGCTGGCCTGTGAATTTTGGGCTCGTTCCCAAAAGCAGTGGCAAGAAGGCCCCCCCCATGGGGATGTCATGCTAATCCTCACCCAAGTGAGGACCTGGCCTGGGGCATGGTTGTGTGGGGGCAGCTTGCGATGCTTCCGTGTTGTCATCCTCATCCTCTTCACCACTACTCTGTGTCTGTGTGTCCTGCCCTTGGGAACAGTTTTAAATGTGTTTTATATTAAAAATAATGAACCACAAAGGACTCTCCCTGGTATTCATATGTTCTCGTAACGAGAGTAGGTGAGGCTAACCTGGTTTCCTACAGATACGAACAGTCGTGGAAGTGGGGTATCCATGTTGTAGGGTCAAATCCTCAGGTAACTGCCATGGAACTTCCAGTCAGAACTGGACTGTACCCTCACTCCTAGGCTTCCCTCTGCCTTAGCGCCCCTCCGTGCCTGAGGCGCCTGTGAGGAATGATAGGATAGGAATGTAAGTAACAGCACGGGGGAAAAACGTAAAGTTGATGCTGTTGTCTGCATTTTATTTGACAGTTTGATTTGACAGTTTGAGAGACACTTCAGAGTTTCACTCTTTACCCAGTTGAGACTATGGGGAATCCTGAAGCAGAATTCTGGTATTCAACATGCTGTGCTTAATCAGAGCAACTTCTAATTCGCAGCCCCTCTTAAATCTGCATGCTTGTCTCAGACTTCTGGCACCAGCGTCCAGCTCTTAGCTTCTTACCGGTGCGGGTCTCCTGTACCTACTGATAGCCTTTCCAGCCACCAAAACCTGCCCTTGGGAAACTTTAAAACTTTACCGCTTGCCACATTGCCTGCCGTCCCAGATCCATAGCTGGCGAGTGCCTAGGAGGAAGACCCTGATAGTTCTCCCGCTCAGTGCTATTTTTCACTTGGTGAAAAAGCACCTTTTTGTGAACAACAGCATAGGACGAGTACCTCCGCGAAGGCTTTTGTTCTCTTTCTCAGACTACATTTCCAAAGATGCCTTTTTATCAGTAAGACAGGTGTGGAGGCTTTGAGAAGAGATTTCTATTGGATGAGGTTTTGGTTTAAGACAGACCTGTGGTTTTGAATAGCACGTGCATTTTCTTCGACTTGTCCTCAGTATACTTACAGGACAGTGCCTTTGCAGGGCAGGCTCCTGGTTTATCCCAGGGGGCTCATCCCAGCCTCGGGGACAGGACGAGGCGAGGCCACCTTGTGGCAGAAAAGGGAATTCTAAGAAACCTCGCTCAGGCCGCAGCTGGTAGCCAACTTGAGAAAGGATGAATTCACATGGAGTGCTCTCCCCGCTCAGGGGGATGATGTTTCTTTCAGGGGGAGATTTGGGAATGATTTGGGCCTAATTAAAGATAGACAAAACTGTCTCAATCGTGTTGCTTCTTGTTTGAAGTAAGTCTAGTTTCTGTCCCCGCTTCTCTCCTCCCTCCTGCCTTTCCCGTCGCCTGCATCTTCCCTCTGACTAGGTCCAAGGCAATGGTATGTACTAACTGCACTGCAATGCTTTGTTCTGCTGCACACACACATGGTCTCTTGACAGGAAGAGAAAAGGAGAAATAACTGGGGAGGTGTTGTTTTCTTCGACCCAGGAGGGAGTTTGTGGTAGGGAAAAAAGTGAATGCTGCCTCTCTCCATGTTCAGTGTTTTCACTGAGGTGCAGCCACGGCCTCCTCTCCTACGAGGAGCTTGAAAGCTTGTTAAAGAGCAATGCTAAGTTTCTGATTCGGCTTTTCCACAGTGACCTACCCTCCAGGTAGTTGAAATTGTCCTTGGAAAGTACTGACTGTTCAGCTTGAGCTCGGAAGGGCCTGTGGAGAAGGCCTGCTTCACAGCTGACACCGAGTGCCCTGAAGGCAGCCACGCAAGCCCATCGTAGAAGGCCGTGTTGTTTGTTCCTGTCTCCTCCAGACCTTGTGGAGTATTCCCTTTCCCCCCAGGGTAGTTAGATGTTAGATGACAAACACCTCCTGATCATTGTGCCTTTTTAGCTCAAGGTCCCTGAGACCTGAAAGCACCTTTGGAAACCCAGTAAGATGACAGCAGGCAGGGCTTCACTGGAGAAGCAAGAAAGGTTCAAACTGAGGCAAAGGAAGACTAAGTCTCACCTCCCAGTCTGAGGTCAGAAAAGCAAGGTGATTTCTTCATGTTTGTGGCCGTTTCTGTACTCCTTGAGGACTTGAGCTGATTAGAAACTTTGGGCATGGGGTGTCTGGCTGGCTCAGCTGTGGAGCATGTGACTCTTGATCTCAGAGTTGTGAGTTCAAGCCCCATGTTGGGCATGGAGCTCACTTTTAAAAAACAAGAAAACAAACTTGGGGGTGTTAACAACATAAAACTGCCCCGGGGAAGAGAAGAAGAGCAGGTCAGGTGATCATGGAGGATCTAAAAATGGGTAATGGTGCACCATCAGATTGTGGCCTTTTATAGATGATGCAGCCACTTGGGTTGTAAGGGGATTACTTAAATGACACGCGAGTCACTTTTCAACCTGTGAGGAAGACTTTGCCTTAGAAAAGCTAACTGTCAGAGCCTTAGCATTCTCCTAGGGCTTGCTTATTGTCCCAGGATTCTTCTGGGCTCAAGATCTGGGAAGAAGCACTCAGAACTAAGGCCAGCTCAGAGCCAGACAAGCATCGCCTGAGGCTGCCA